ATTAATAATAATAATAATAATAATAATAATAAAAGAAGTCTTAAAACAGCACTGGGCACATTGGAGAGAGTCAATCAATGCTTCCTGGCTTAAATCAAAAGTGATGACTCAGTGATTCCATGGCTGTTGTATTTGCTGAGCTAGTTATTCCTTTGCTCCATTACACATATTTTTTTAACTGAAAAAGAAATACAAGCAAATGGTTCAAAAAATTCAAACAGAGCACAAATATACACAAGTGAAAGTTTTCCCTCATTCTCTTTTCTGTCTGCCCTCCCTGGTAATGCCACTGTTTACTATCCTTTGGGTGATTTTCCATATATGCTATCCACATTCCCAACTATGTATGTAAATTCCTTTAAGGTTTTAGTTATTTTTAACTTAAAGGGATTTAAATCCTCAAGTGGCTTCTACCCTGGTAATAGAACAGAACAAGTCTGACTCCATAATAGATCTGTTCCTTTGAATTTAAGTTTATGCTCTGTCTCCTAGGCTTCATCTTGCTTGTAAAACAATGTTGCTTAGAGCCTGAAATATACAGGAGAGCCTATTCTGCAGGTTCTGACCTTTAAGGATATTTAACACTTTTCATTCATAAAAAGATAACAAATTGTAGAATAGAAAATAACGTTTGTTTTGTTGGTCGTTTACAAAGATTTGACCCAGGCAGATAGCTGCAAGAACAAAGGATTCTAACAAGAAGGAATTCCTACACCAAGAAGATTGCAACAACCAATCACGTAGGAAAGGAGCCTGAATTGTGACTTGGGGAGATGGTTTTTCAAGACATTATTTTGCCATTTAGGTCTTCAGAAACTTGCTATTCCATGACCGAACAGCTGGTCTCCCAACTTATTGGCCTGTCCTGCACTGAGGAGAATGAATGTGGACTCGGTAACACTCCTATCTACCTAGCAAGCTGGGCACTGGAACTGAGAGTTACGGAAATAACAGGCCAGCCAAGAAACAAGCACCACTCGGAGTGTTGGAGTACTCGGATTTATTATG